GAAGGGACCTGGAGAACGTTATATTATGTGAAGTAAGCCAGTCCCAGAAAGACAAATATGATTTTCCTCATATGTGGAATCGAATGGATACACTGAACTAACAAGCAAAATAGTGGCAGACTCACAGATAGAGAGCAGGCTAACAACAGCTTTTGGGGGTCGTCAGTGGGTGGAGGGACTCAGCAAAAAGGGAAAAGACTCATGGGCGCAGAGAACAGCGTGGTGGTGGCGGGGGAGGGTGGGTAAAATGGGGGTAAAAGGAAATGGGAAATTACACTAAAAAAATCTCAATGACTAATAATACAATTACAAACAACAAGTGTTCAAAAGGATGTCAATAAAAGGGAACCGTCCTCATGCATTCTTGGTGGAATTTAAATTGGTGCATGCCATGGGAAACAGTGTGGAGGTCCTCAAAAATTTAAAAGATACTACTACTATAAGAACCATCAATCCCATTTATGGGAATTTACCCAAAGAAATGCAAGACATTAATTCACAAAGACTTCTGCAATCCTATGTGTACTGCAACATTACTTACAGAAGCCAAGAGATGGCTTTTGTAAAGAAGAGGTACATATACACTGGGGATTTTTAGTCAGCCACAGTAACGAATGAAACCTTATCATTTGAACAAAATGGAAGCACCTAGAGGATATTATGCTCGGTGAACTATGTCAAACGCAGGAAGGCCAATAGCATAAGATTTCATTTCTATGTGGAATCTAAAAGACAAAATACATGAACAAACAAAACCAAAAGCAACTCAGAGAGGTCCAACTAATTGTCACACGGGTTGGAGTTTGGGAGGCTGGTGCGAAAGGTGAAGGAATTAAGAAGGACAAATTGGTACTTACAAAATAGAGATGGGGATGTAAAGCATACCATAGGGAATATAGCCAATGTTATTGTACAAATTGTGTGTGGTGGCAGGTGGGCAGTAGAGTTCATAAATTATATAAGTGTCCAACTACTATGCTGTATACCTGAAACTAGTGTAATATGGAGTTCCAAGTATAATGGAAAACATTACTGTTGTTTAAAAAGGCATATTTTCTCGTTGAATCGAACTAAGCAGCCAAGGAAGAGACAAATAAAAGTGGTGGTTAATAAGATGGATCAGACTCGGGCACTGTTCTTGTTGAGAAGTTTGCTTTAATTATTTTGTGATTTGCCAGCATAATATAGACTATTTTGCAGATCGAGAACATAATAGCATTGCATTATGTTGATATTTGCCTGGGAACGAAATAGGAGTTTCATCAAGTTCATTGGAGGTGTCAGGAGAATTGATACCTGAGAGTAGTTGTGGGAACATATTTAAATCAAAAAATCTGAAAGAGTTCACCTTCAGATGATGCGCCACACCAACTACTGTTCGGCATTAGTGCAGGTTCAATGTACAGAATTGGATCGTGTATTTTTGGTCTGGAGAGAAACTTCGCAGGTCCTCTACAGAACTCAAAGAGAAATGCATTGCAATGAGGCGCTCACGCAAAACTGAAAAATTCTATAGGTAGTAGTACTGATGGTCTCCATCGGAGGAAAAAGATGAAGTGTAAGACGCTGAGCACGAAGTACATTGTTGATTGTATGTTTATTTTCTATGACGTCATGGATTCCTTCATTGAAGCGTTTATCCACTTATAATTTCTTACATTCTTGAAACTCATTTTCATTCTTCAGTTACACCTGACATGTAATGGATTATATATTTATTAGCAATCCTGGACTTTATTACCAAAATGCTTTATAGCGTATACGCCTTGTTCTTTTTCCTCACAGTTAAGTGTCGGAATCACTCCAAATGAAGTGCTAAGAAGAGAGAAAATTCAGAGCAGGATGTATAATCATCTCTCATTTGTGAAGGGGGAAAAGATCAATACATATAATATGCACTTATATGTCTCTGGAATTTTATTCAAGAAGGTGCTGTGTGAAGCTGAGATATCAGAGGATCTTCCGCTGTACTGCTGAAAACTTTTATCATGAATATGTTCTATTAAAATTTTTCTTCGATTTTGAAAAAAAATGTCTGGATTTTGAGGAACTTCTGCATTTAATGTCCCAAAAAACGCAGGCACAGATTGCTTTTGACCCAAAGGTGTGTAACTGACCAAAATTCAGCAATCTGGTCTGGAAAAATGAAAACGAAGAATTCTGCTGTTGGTGAGATTAATACATAGGTAGAGAGGCAGGTGAGAAATCTAAACTACTTGGCCTTTCTCTCTTTGATTTAAGTACTGAAAAAATATCACTGTTATCATTCCCAGAAAGCCATGCATTTACAAATGGAAATCAGAATATGATGGGAAAAGACCCGGTTAGGAGTTACCCATTAGGGAACAAAATGGGTACGTGTGATAGCTACCCACTGTCATGGTGAGGGCCCTGCGTTGCACTTATTGTCCCAAAATGTATTGTGCTGAAGCCTACACAGCAAACATTCCAATTTCTCCTGACGCCTTCTCAATGAGAACGACGGAGGTGTAGCTACAGGGATGTGCCTGTGGAACAACACAGGATGAGATCTTTCAACAGTTTCCAAAGCTATCTTTTTGCAATAGTGTTCTATGAGATTTGGTAGAAAAGGGACCTCATGATTAGAATGTTTTGGAAATGCTGAACATATTATCCCCGTGTTATAGGTCTACAAAGAATGTTTCTTGAATCAAAGACCTACAATTCCTAGACAATAACTAGAAAGCTACACCAGAAATCCCACTAAGTTGATTAATACAAACCTGTGTCTGTGTGTGTGTGTGTGTGTGTGAATTCGTTTGTGTGTGTGTGTGTGTGTGTGTGTGTGTGTGTGAATTCGTTTTTTACTGAACACCTGCTACTATTCTGTGGCAGTGCCTGATACTGAACACAGTCTTGGAAAGGCTGGTCTAAAAATTAGAGACCTGCAAATTAAGATGAAAACACTTTCAGGTGAGGAGGGAGGACTGTGGTAGCAGCCTTTATCAGTCTCTGTTTCCATCCAGGCAATTATTTACTTTTATCCTTCACACCCTTTCATCTTTACTTTTTTTTTTTTTTTACAGAGGAACCTGTACTAGGGACAAAGAGAAAACTGGCATCTACTACTCTAGAGTAGGTGTGTTCTGTAAACAGTGACAGCATAGCCTGGTAAAATTGTGCTGATTATAAGGACACATATTAGCTTAGGCTCTCTTGGTAGCAAGGGACAAATACTAAATTAGAGTTGGATACTTGAAACCTCCGGGCAGATATACAACCAGGCTCAGCAAAGGTCTGGAATGCAGCTGCTTCATATCTGATAATGCAGTCACTGAACTGGTTTTCAACAAAGGGTGTCTTCCTAAGCAGACATTTTCAGAATCTAGTCCGGAGATTCAAAAGGAACTGTGGTGCTGAAAATATATATGAACTTTTATGCATGATATATACTATGTAAAAACGAAGGATAGAAAACACACGTAAGTGGCTGTTTTCTAACTGCAATGTGCAACCCAGGCCTTGGTGACTATGGGAAGTCACTCCTCTGTCTCTGGGGAAGCCAGCCTGAGGCTCACTTGCCATTATCACTCTTGCCCAGTGTTAGCTTATCAAGGGTACTCTACCCTTAGGAATTCCAACATCGCCATCTGACTACCCAGACTTAACTATTCCCTTTTGCATGATTTAATGAACATAAACATTTCAGGTAAAGCTGATTATCCCTTTATTTTAACCTCTGCCCGACACCATTCTTCACTACTTCCTTAGAGGCAAGGAGTCTCATGGCTTTCATACTGTTTTTAGTATACTTGTACCGTGCACATGAATCCAGCTTAACCAGGGCCCTGTCGGACCTCACCCTCACGTACCTATATTGTTTATAAGGGGAGATTGATTCTGCCTTTCCCAGGGTCCCACACACTACATGCTCCCTCCATCCAAGATCCCCCACACAATGCCTCTCCCTCCACCCAGGGTCCAGGGAATACCACTTCCTTCCATCCAGGGTCCAAGCAATAAGCCCTCCCTCCAACTAGGGCACAGGGGGCAACCACAAGTCCTGTGGGCTTAATCCGGCCCTCGACCTCCTTTCTCTCCGTTCTGTTGCCATGTTTCTTCCCTGCAGCTGCACTGAGCTCTGGCTTAACAGTTAAGAAGTAGTTACATTTCTAGAGTCCCAAAATTATGTGCGGCCCTTTCAAGGCAACCATGAGTCTCGTGTGGCCCCCGGTGAAAACGAGCGTGATAGCCCTGAACTAGGGTCACACAGACTACCCCCTCCCTCCAAGGTCCCACGGTGTACCCATTCCCTCCATCCAGGGTCCTGGGAATACCACTTCCCTCCATTCAGGGCCACCAGGATACTCCCTCCCTGGATCCAGGGTCCAGGGCATAGCCTTCACTCTATAAAGCAGGAAGGGTATACCTCCTCCCTGCATCCAGGTTCCCACACAAACCTCTCCCCTCTGTCCAGAGCTGCGCGGTATGCCTCCTCCCTCCATCCAGAGCTTCAGGGAATACCTTGTCTGTCCATCCAGAATCCCACGGAATACCTTCTCCCTCCATCCATTCAGGGTCCCAAGAAATGCCCCTCCCTCCATCCAGAGTCCAGGAATTACCTCCATCATCCATCCAGGGTCCCAGGGAATAATAAGTCCACCCTTCATTCAGGGCGCAGGGAATACCCTCGCCCTCCACCCAGGATTCATGGAACCCCTCCTTCCATCCAGGCTCCCATGAGATATCCCCTCCCCCCACCCATGGAGATCTCAAACTGCACATGATGGGCCATGTGTGAGAGAGAGACTCCTGCGCACTTATTTTAAAACAAAAGGTGACCGTTTGCACACAGGAACCAATGAAACGCCTTTAATTATTTAGTAATCAGTAACTTTAGGAAGTAATGATAATACTCAAACAAACAAACAAACAAACTTAACTGAACGTTTCCTAGGGCACTATGGCAATAGGCAAGCTCAGCACGGTGACCAGGGCAAGTCACCCCGCGGCTGGCTTATAGGGAAGGCAGTCCCGGCTCACTTCTTGCTGTCCTTCAGCGTGAGCTTGTCAAAGAGGGACTCTGCCAGGCTATCTTCCGGGGCCGCCAGCTTGCGCAGGTTGGTGATGTGCTCCCCCAACTCTTGGATGAACATCGCTTGGTCACGCAGGTAGTCACGCTCCAGGAAGTGACAGCCCTGGCCGTGCTTCTCGGTGACCACCTGGTGCAGATTCAGCAGGCTCTGGTGCACTCTCTTCGCCAGGTGCAAGGCGCACTCCATGACCCTCAGGCCATTCTCCCAGTTCTCTTCTTTAGGCCTGGGGATATTGGGCAGGCAGAGGTTGCCGGCATGCCGGTTTTGCAGCCCCAACAGAGATTCCGCGAGGTCCACCTCCTTCTTCGACTGCTGAAGGAAGAACAGCTTGAAGTGCTTCAAGGCCGCGTCTCCAAGGTCGAAGTAGCAGGCCATGGACACGTACACGTAGGAGGTGTACAGCTCCAAGTTGACCTGGCTGTTGATGGCGGCCTCACACTCAGGGTGGCAATTCTGACCCACATGGCAGGGCGGCAATGCGGTCGCCATGTCTGGTAGTGCAGGTGCAGGGTGGGGGCACCACAGCGAAGAAGTCTTGGAAGCGGGAGCTGGACTTGCCCTGTAGCCTCCGAGAGTCCCCAGGTGAGTCAGTAGCACCGCAGAGGGGTGGTGCTCCAGCGCCTGCAGCAGGCGACTGTTGGTTGGCTGTGAGATGGAACCGGAAAGGGAAGGTGAATCCTGAAGATGGAAAACGTGAGCAATTCTCGCGAGTATACAGGAGAGGGAGCAAGGAGGACCCCTGAGAGTGGGAGGGGCAAAGACGGGGTGCAGAGGGGGGGTTGTACAGGTGGGCAGGGTACCAGCAGCATGTTCCAGGTTCCGTCACAGCCTGGGTGAGGCGGGGAGAAGCTGTTCTGACCTCTTGACATTTAATGTTTTCAATTTCGCAAGAATATGTCTATGTTTCAAGGACCTTATCTGCCCTCTAATTCCTTCTATAGAAGACATTATTGTTGTATATACCCCTTTTCTTCCCTTAAAGTTCTGAGAATATGAATTTGAATCCTTGGTACAATTCTCTTCTGTTTCCTGTGTTATATCTGGGTTCCCCCTGCCCAGAAATAGTTTTGTGAATTCCCTGTCCTTTTTTCTTTTATCTTCCTCATACATTTGGCAAACCTGTGTTCCTGTACAGTTAGGCATAAAGGACTTATGTGGTCAAAGCAGGGAATGAGCAGGGGTCTGATCTGGGGTTGTGAGGTGCATTTCACTGCAGGGCTTCTGCTGTAAGGGAAGGCTGGAGTGTGCTGAGTTACTCAGTGGGTTTTCCTTTGAGGATACATGGCATGGCTTATAGGTAGGAAAGGGGCACTCCCTGGGGACAAAATAAATGTGATACACCTGACATTGCGAGAGTAATACTTTTGTCTTTTAAGTAAATGTGCCCTATTGTTTCCCTTCTCGGCAGGTCTGCAATTGTCTTAAAGTCATTTGCTGTCTTCGCAGTGTAGTTTGGGGTGAGGAAAGCTGCCAGATACCGCAGTTGTATAAAATTCTCTTGTGTAGACATCCTGTCCAGGGCTTTTGTTTGTTGAGGTGTTTTAAGGTTTTAATTTTTTGTTCTTAAATGACTGCTTTGATTTCTTAAGTTCTAAGCCATGTGTTCAAATTTCTAGTTTCTTCCTCATTCAGCTTTGGAAGATTGGATGTTTCTCAAAATTTATTCATTTCTCCCAGCCTGTCTAATCTGGTGGCATGTACTTGTTCATGATAGTTTGTTTAGGTACTTACACAGGTATTATTGTAACAGTCTCATCATATTAGTGGGTAGGTGATCAGTGCCTGCTGTGGGTAAATAATACCTACTGTGCATGAATGAGTCCACATAGGAGGGCTGGCACCTCTGTCTTCAGAAAGATCTCTGGGAGAAGTTGGGCCTTGGGCCTGCTATCTGGCATCTTTGATTTCAGGAGTGTTCGAACCTCTCCTAATTGATAAGAATGTCATTGTGCCCAGAGTGGGTAAACAAAAGAATTTACACTGAAGACATCTTTGTTTCTGTGTGTATGAGTTCCTGGTACTTGCTAAGCCAAGCGTGCCCACACACCCAGCCCCCAGTACAAACTGGAGCCCTGGGTCTATAATGGCCTCACAGTTATCTACATGGTGGTTCCATTGGAGGCCCAATGGGCATCCAGTCCAATGCGCATCCAATGGGCACTCAGGTTGTACATAAGATGACATTCCAACCCCTGGACAAAAGTCCTCAAATTAGTAAACAGTGCTACCGTCCCCCAGGTATTCAGTTCTAATCACCAGAACTTGGAGCATTTTCCTCATCTCTCACTCTTCACCTCTGGCCCCTAAACTGAACTTATCATCACATCCAATCCATGTGTAATTTGCCCACATCTCTTTCTTTTCTCAGTCACCACTGTAGTTCAACCCCCATTACCTTTCACCTGGACCAGCCACAACATATCCTAACTGGCCTCCCAGCTTCATCTCTTCCTTCTATGATTTTAGGACTTTCAAAATGTTACTACTCCTTAACTATTTAGCCAGAGTTCAGCAGTGCCACAGGGTACAAGTAAGTGCCAACCTGGATAAAACAAGTTCGAGGGCTGGATTCAGCCTGCACACCCTGTGTTTGACATCTGTGCTCTAGAATTTAAAAATCTCATGGGAACAGACAAAGTCTCTCTTTGTTCCTAGTATTTGCCCAGACCCTACACTAGTGCCTGTGCCATTTTTGATATAAGGGTTTGTTGAGTTAATTAAGGACAATTTGACATCAGTGGTGTACTCAACTACTTTGGCTCCTTCCTTAGAATTTAACTGAAAGCTTTAGAGCAAAAAGGCTTACTGAGTAGCAGTGAAACTACAAATGTGGTTGGAGGGGATGAATACATCCACAGGGTTAAGGGCTTTCTTTAAGGATTTAACTAAACCTTTTGTTTCCTGCCAGAGGGAACCGAAGTCTGTGCTTACCTAAGAGCACAGAGACTGGCAAGCCAGGTGAAATGGGTGAAGGCCTCTGGGGGTTCAGTGAAGAGGTCACCCGACACTCCACATTGGGGTGCAGACAGGGCAGAAGGAAGGTGTCTCCAGGACTGGGCTGAAAGATTAAGGCAGGAGAGAGTAAGGGGAGTGAAGAACAAACTCCAACAGTGAAAGATGGAGAGGTGCCCCAGTCACTGAGACGCTCGAGGCCCTGATCTCCTGTCAGGGAAATGTGGAACTGATCATTGGGAGGAATGTGAAACTGAGAGTGGGAGGAAAAAGCAGGGATCACTGGAGGAACAAGGTCTAGGAAGTCAGTAGGGCTGTTGGACCTGGCCTCATGTCCATGCGAAGTCATTCAAACAAAGCTTCGAGGTATTAAATGTAACCAATGATACCACAAAATGGCTTTGTTTAATGAAACAACCACATTAGGGCAATATTCATGTAAGTTGCTCACAGATATCATGTAGGTGATTGATTGAAAACAGTTGCACTTGTATTCCTGAAGAACATTTTAAAGGTCATACTGGCCACATGCCCAGCCCTGAGAGGCCCTGTCAGCCAGGCTGGAATGGAACATGGAAAGTGTCAGTGCCGCTGGCCCCCTTATTCCCCCCTAAAGCACCCCCACCAACGTGGCCCTGCCATGACCCTGACCCCCAAGCCCATCACAGGCTGCCTCCCCCCTCCCCTCAAAACTACTGCGTGGGTGGGTTCTTCTGGTCCCACCTCAGAGCCAACAGCAGCGCCTGAGGACTGACACGTCAGCACGCCTGTGTTGGCGCCACTGCAGCACACTCTGGGGCTCTGCAGCTTCCACAGTCGCCCCTGCCACAGCCCACCCAGCAGCCTGAGATTCTGCACCACTGCAGTCTTGCAGGCCCGCGCCTGCGCCTGAAGACATGGAGATGCTGCCCGGGCCCTCCTTTGTGCCTCAGAACTACCAGCCTGAGTGTGAGGCTGCCGTCAACAACCACATCAACGTACACTTCCACGCCTCCTACGTGTACTCCTCCCTGGCCTTCTACTTCGACCTCGAGGACCTGACCCTGAAGCACTTCCGCCAGTTCTTCCTGCAGAGGTCAAACTAGGAGAAGGAGCACAGGGAGAGGCTGATGCGGCTGCAGAACCAGCGAGGGGACCGAATCCGCCTGCGGGACATCAGCAGTCCTCCCTGGGATGCATGGTAGAGTGGCCTGAGGGCCATGGACTGCGCCTTGCACCTGGCGAAGAAAGTGAACCAGAGCCTGCCGAGTGTGCACCAGCTGGCCACTGACAAGGGGGAGGGCCACCTGTGCCATTTCCTGGAGAGTCACTACCTGCAGCAACAGGTGATGTTCATCAAAGAGTTGGGGGGCCGTGTCATCAAGCTGCGCAAGGTGGGAGCTCCGGAATCCGGCCTGGCAGAGTACCTCTTTGACACGCTCACCCTGGGTGACAGCAAGAAGAACTGTCCCTGGATTGCCTTCCCGATAGCCTCAGGGCAAATTCCCCTGGTCACTGTGCTGAGCGTGCCTATTGCCATATGGCCCTTCAAAATGTTCACTTCAGCTTTTATGTTGCAGTTTTACCATTTCTTCTAATAAAGTTGTTGGTTCCTAGATTAAAAAAGGAGTTTTATTGATGCGTGTGTTTGAAACGCAAACCTTCTATGTAATAAAACAGGTATGTAGGAGTCTCTCTTTCCAACCACACCCCATCACTTTCAGATGAAGATCTCCGTGGATGGGAGAGCCTGTTCCCTGGGACCATGGATAGAGGGACCGAGTATTCTTTGGGAACCTGGATAGAGGGAATCAGTGTCTGTGGGACAGAGCGTGAAGGGAGGGGGGTATCCCTGGGACCATGGATGGAGAGAGGAGTTAGTTTCAGGAGCCGAGGTGGCAAGGGTGGGTATTCACTAGTCTCTGGAGGAGGGTGGGGCTATTATGTGGGACACCAGATGGAGATGGGGGGTATCCTGAAACCCTGGGTTTAAGGAGAGAGTATTTCCTGGGCCCGGATTGGTGGGAGGAGCTGTTTTTGGACCCTGGGAGGTGGGAGGGACTATTTCTCGGACCATGGATTGAGGGAGGAGATAGTCCCTGATCCCTAGAGGAGGATGGGATATTGTGAGGGGTAATGCCTGGAGTCAGGGGGGTATACTGGGACCCTGGATAGGGTGATATAGTGTTCCCTGGGCCCTAAAGCGAGGAAGGAGGTATTTTGTGGGTTCTGGGTGGAGGAAGCAGCCATTACCTGGACCCTGGATATAGGGAGCAGGTTGACTGGGATACTGGATGAGAAAGAAGGTATTCTTCGGGCCTTGGATGGAGGCAGGAGGTATTCTCTGGGCCCCAGATGGAGAGACAGGTTATTCCATGGGCTTAAGTGGAGGGGAGAGTTATTTCCTGGGCCTTGAATGGAGTGAGGAGCATTCCGTGGGAACTAGTCTTGTGGGTGGAGTATTCCCTGGACCCTGGATGGAGGGAGATTGTATTTTCTTGGCCCTGGATTGAGGGAGGAAGTATGCCCTTGTCCCGGATGGAATTATGTGGTATTCC